ATTTTTTTCATATGTTTATTTGCTGCTTTTACTTCTTTGTCTGAGAAATGTCTGTTCATTTCAGATGCCCATTTTTGAATTGGGTCTTTGAATTTGGAGGGTCTGATTTTTTTCAGTTCTTTATATATTCTAGATAGTAGACCTTTGTCTAAGGTACAGCTGCTAAAGATTTTTTCCCACATTCTAGGTTGTCTCTTAGCTCTGTTGGTGGGTTTCTCTTGCAGTGCAGGAGCTTTTTAATAAGATGAGATCCCAGTTGTTGATTCTTTGTGCTAGTTCCTGTGCTACTGAAGTTTTGTTCATAAAGACTTTTCCTATGCCAATGTCATTGAGAGTTCTACCTAACTTATCTTCCAGCAAGTTTAGTGTTTTTGTTTTAATATTTAGATCTTTAATCCACTCCGATCTTAGTTTAGTACATGGTGATAGATATGGGTCTAGTTTTAATCTTTGGTAGGTTGAAACACCAACACCATTTATTAAATAGGCTATCTTTCCTCCAGTGAGGGTGATTGGCTCCTTTGTCAAAGATGAGGTGGCTGAGTATGTCTGGAGTTGCTTCTCCATCTTCTGATCTATTCCACTGATCCTCAGGTCTGTTTCTTTGCCAGTACCATGCTGTTTTTATCACAGTAGCTTTGTAGTATAGTTTCAAGTTGGGGATTGTGATACCCCCTGCCTTGTCTCTGTTGCTTAGAATTGCTTTTGCTATTCTAGGTCTCTTCTGGTTCCAAATGAATTTTTGGATTGTTTTCTCTAGGTCTGTGAAGTATTATTGGAATTTCAATCAGCATTGCATTAAATCTATATAGCAGTTTTGAAAGTATGGCAATTTTCACTATATTGGTTCTTCCTACCCAGGAGCAAGGGATGTATTTCCATTTTCTTATATCCTCTTCAATCTCTTTTTATGTCCTCTTCGATCTCTTTTGTTCAGAGTGCTGTAGTTTTCAGTGTAGAGGTCTTTTGCTTCCTTTGTTAGATTGATTCTTAGATATTTCATTTTTCTGGATGCTATTATAAAAGGAATTGTTTCCCTCATTTCTCTCTCAGTGAGTCTGCTATTTGTGTATAAGAAGACTTTGTTTTTTGAGTGTTGACTTTATATCCAGCTACTCTACTGAATCTGTCAATTAAGTCTAGAAGTCTTCTGGTGGAGTTTTTTTGGTCTTCTATGTAAAGTATTATATCGTCAGCAAATAATGACAGTTTAACTTCCTTTCCTATCTTTATTCCTTTTTTTTCTTTCTCTTTTCTAATTGCTGTGGCTAATGTTTCCATAACTATGCTGAACAGTAGTGGTGATAGTGGGCATCCTTGTCTTGTTCCTGATTTTAGTGGGATCACTGTGAATTTGAGGCCAGCCTGAACTACATAAGCCCTGTCTCAAAAACAAAACAAACAAAAATCAGATAATAAATAGCCATTATATAACGTGGGTGGTGTTCTACCAAGCATTGAACAGCTGTCTAGGGAGGCACTACAGTGTTCCTAAAAGTCACCTACAGTAGTGTATTTCCTCTTGGACCTCCATGACATGGGTGAACATCTAGTGTAATTCTAGTAATACAAATATATTTTCTACTCAAATCACCAGGTGCTAATGAACTGGCTGTGCAGAAAGCAAAAGCAGAAATCACCAGGCTCATAAAAGAAGAATTGATCCGACTGGTAAGTAATAGCCTTAAGGATGCATTTTAATAAATGTTTTATTGACTCATAATATAAATACAGACAAATATACAAATCATGAACATATAGCTTGATGAATTTTCACAGAGTAAGTACATCAGTGTAATCACTACTCAAATCATGAAATAGAGAACATTACCAGCATCCAGAAGCCTTCTCCATGGGCCTCCTTGTCACTATTCATCTCCTTTTAATGTAACCATATTGCAACTTTTAAAATCATAAATATAAATAAGCGAGATGTGTTGACACATGCCTGTAATCTCAGCACTTGGGAAACTGAGAGAGGAGGATCTTAAGTTCAAGGCCAACCTGAGTTACAAAGCAAGACTGTCTCAAAGAATCATTGTTTTGCCTGTTTTTGAACTCCATATAAGTAGAATCATATGCTGTCTACTTCCTTTGTATCTCAATATTGTTTTGAGATCAGTCCATGCTGTTGCAAGTAGCAAGAATTTGTTGAATATACCACAGTTAACTTACGTGGTGGAGTTTGGGGTCCTTCTAGCTTTTTTTTGTAGAACTAATAGTTTGGCCTTTTCATAGATGTTGCTAAATGTTTTCCAAAGGAGTTATACTGATTTACTCCTTCCCACACAGCATATGAAAATTCCAGTTACTCTGCACCTTTGCTGACACATGGTGTTGGCAAGGTTGGTTTAGTTTGTTGTTGTTGTTGTTTTGGCAGTTTTGTATTTTTTTGGTACCGGGGATCGAACTCAGGACCTTTTGCTTGTGAGGCAGGCAGCAGAACCACTGAGCCAAATCCCTGGCCCGTTTTTTAAAAACTTAGACAATGGCTTAATTAGATTTTGGAAAAAGCAGTCCTTTACAAACTATTTTTCCAAAGGGCGCAGACACGTGCACGCTTCAGCAGCACATATACCAAAGGGCACAGACGTATCCTTATATATTTTTGTTTCTGGGTTTTTTTTTGTTTTGAGACAGGGTCTCGCTATGTAGTCTAGGCTGGCCTTGAACTCACTGTGTAGCTCTGGCCAGCCTCAAGCTCATGACCATCCTCCTGCCTCGCCCTCCCGAGTGCTGGGATTACAGCCATGTGCCCCCACACTTTCTCCATAGCATGTACATTAGGTGAGGGTCCTCTGTTCCTTCTGTTTAAGAATTTGATTTTGAGGGCTTTTAAAAAATTTAACTTGGGCCAGGGATTTAGCTCAGTGGTTTTGCTGCCTGCTGTGCAAGCTCAAGGACCTGAGTTCAATCCCTGGTACCAAAAGAAAAAATTTCACTTAAAGAACATTATTTTGGGGAGATAAGATGACTAAAGAAAAGAGAGTATCTCCAAAATAGAAAAAAGAAAACAATCTTTAAATCAAGATCATAAGCCTCTTTTATCAAGAAGTGATAGAATAATAACCATATCCTTGTAGATTGGCTGAAAACACAGTTGTCAAGGGAACTTCAGTGAATTAAAATAAGTGATTAGGGCTGGGGGTTTAGCTCAGTGGTTCACTGCCTGCCTCGAAAGCTCAAGGACCCAAGTTCGATCCCGGTACCAAATAAAAAAAAGATAAAATAAGTGATTAATTATTGGACAGTTCCTTGTGTCTCACTGCAGTAATATTAACATCTTTATTTGATGTCTGATAGTTTTATAAGATGATAGAAGAAATGATCTTATATTTTCTCTTTCTTGCTTTTTCTAACCATGTATTTTATTTTTTATTGCAGCAAAATTCATACCAGCCGACAAATAAAGGAAGATACAAAGTCTTATAAACATCTAAAAAACCTTTTTTTTTTTTTTTTTTTTAACCTGTGCTGGTCTGTGATACAGTGGCAATTGTCTGAAGTTTACAATGTATTGTAAATTAAGATTTTTAAAATTCCATCTTGTTGATTTTTTAAATACAAGAAACCAGTTTTTGCTAAAGAAATCTTCGGTCAGTAAGTAGCCCCACAATTCAAACTATATTTAAAGCAGGCCTGTTTTCAGAGTATAATACCTTTAATGTAAAACTTAAATATTGGTATTTTAAATATCTGGATAATATTCTAGAGGTTTAAAAATGGAAACATTTGGGCTTTGTATTGAGGTAATAAAGAATACAAGTAACTAAGGAGCAACACATCTTATCCTCTTTCAACAAAATTACCTCCTGAGAAAAAGTGAAATTCTGTCATATTTTGTGTCAACCCCTCCCCAAGCTGAAATCTTACTCAATTCAGCAGACCATCTAAACTGGATTTAAGAATGTTATAATAGAAGCTTTACAAATTAGGTTCAGAATTTTTTTTAATCATTGTAAATTTGCGATAGTTGGATTATTTTTGGTTTTTGTAAAATTAAACATTTGTAGCATAAGAACTTTTTGCATTTCTTTACACTGCAAAGTTTTAGTATGTACTACTTTTAGGTTCCTCTTGCAACCTCTAGCTGTATGCCTAGGAATTAATTCTTTCTTAATCTTATTTAAAAGAGAACAGTTGTAGCCTATAAATATTAAATATGATTCCTTTTCCCCCTGAAAGTGTTTTTTTAGACATCTGTACATATGGTATGTACAAACACCCTACTACTTTTCATCTACTTTTCCTTCAAGATTATCATAGGCTGTGAATTTTTTTCTTAAAACATTTACATTTGGGAGGCTGAGACAGGAGGATTGCTGTAAATTCAATGCCAGACTGGGCTACATAATGAGTTCAAGGCCAGCCTGAATTTCATAGTGAGACCCTGTATCCAAAAAAGTAAAAATAAAACATACTGGTACATAAGTTTTAGACAGACTTCAACATCTCTGTGAAATGCAGTGCACAAGGAATCAAAATTGTATTTTGAGCCCTCAAGGTCTAACTCTGGAATATTCTAATTTAAATGGCTATCATTGGATTACCTAGTTCTTTCCAAGACCTCAGGTGTATTAGAACTTCATATTGTCACTTGAAAAGGTTTTTTCAGGAATTAAGTAGATGTATTTCTTAAATTAAGAAACAGCCTCTAAATATTCTTAATAGTTTTCAAAAGAACAAAAATCAAAGTATTTTATCATTTTAATATTACAGGCAATAGCCCAAGTGACAAGGCATATCAATAATTTCTTCAAAATAAATTATCTATTTAAAAAGTAAGATAGAACTGGAAAGTATTTTTAGATCCCTTACACATTCACTTAAATAATTGAAGGAAGAAGACAGACAAAATACATGTAACAACAGAATCAAATAAACCATTTACTCTAACATTCCAGGTATGTACCCCCCTTATTTATTTATTTGTAATTATGTGGATAGTTTGTTGTTTTTTGGGTTTTTTTTTTTGGTACTGGAGATTGAACTCGGGACCTTGTGCTTGCAAGGCAGGTGCCAGAACCACTGAGCTAAATCCCCGGCCCAATAGTTTGTTTTCTTTGATAGAATATATCATAGTCCCACATTGGTGACATTTGGTGCTCCCTTATACCTACTAGATCACTTTGAGATTTAGAGATTTACATCATTTTAGCATTTCCTTTGTTTGTATATCTAGTTGTGATGAGTTGCTAGGATTTTGTTCTAAAATGAAGCATTACTCTGGTAGTACATTTTTAGTGTCACACTGACTGATTTTTAAAATTTGAATGATGTACAGGCTTTAATTTGTTATTTTAATGCAATATCAGTATTTACTTGTGTTTTCTAAATTCCTTATAAAATAAATTTAATTCAGTCTGCATTTTTCTAAAATTATCTTTCCTCAAATGCTTTCTCTTCTGTTTCTCTAATTTTTTATTATTTATTTATTTATTTATTTGGTACCAGGGATCGAACTTGGGTCCTTGCGCTTGCACAGCCGGCGGCGAAACCACTGAGCTAAATCCCCGGCCCTCTCTAATTTTTTAGTATTGGTACACTTATGAGAGAAGTATTATACTCTCTATATTTTTTAAAATTCTAGAAATTTACTATCCAAAACTTTTATAGTTCCAACATAAGATAGAGAAAATATAGGTAGAAAGGACACAAGGAAAATCTCAATTTTTAAAATTGCAGCTTCAGCACACACACATTATTCAAGCCTTTCTCTCCTTCCAGAAAACTCACTCAAAAAAAAATTTTCCCCCAAAAGGGTTTTAAAGCCTCTGGCCCATGATTTTCACTTTCTTTTATGACTAGGCTACCATTCTTCAACTGTGAATAGGCCATCCCTCTTCACCTGCAATATGAGGCCTTTCCCTTTATGAATGAATGGGCCATCACCCTTGACCTGGAGGAAGCACTGTCACCTTTCACCTGTAAATTGAATCCCCACCTTCCATACATTTCCATCACCAAAACACAAATATATCCAGCTCAGGCCACAAGGGATCTCTGTCTGTCTCTATCTCTATCTTTCTCCTTCCCTCTATTGTCTTTGAGTGTGTACTTTTGAAACCTCCTATGTCTCCTACTGATATGTCTTGAAAATTGTTTTTGTGTGATCAAAGTCAGTGAACCTACAGGTTCTTCATCACTGGTTTGAGAAACTTCAGACAGTTCTTCTGAAGAATTCATAAATTTCCTGAGAAGAATTTGATGTTTTTTGTATTTTGCATAAGACAAATGTAGTTGAATCAATAGGTTAATTTGACAGTCAAGAGTTTTACCATGTTGTCCCTTACTCTTACAAAATGGAGATACATGGTGCTCAAGAGGCTCCAGTTTGGGGCAGGAAGCAAGAGCAGAGGCTGCAGGCTCACTGTGGTGGTGGAAGGGGCCACTCTGGAGAGGGTCAGGGTAGAGAAGATGTGAATTACTCATTTGCAACAAGCACAAGTCTACATTGTTGAAGAATGGATGGGACCCTGGGCAAATGTGATCAGACATAGCCCAAAGAGCTTATTGATGCTGATGAGCAGTCCTCTGATCAGAGCCAGCTTGCTACAGGTTTTTATCCACACACACAAGCCAATTGATGGAACCCCCAGACTTGAATTTCCAGAATCTTTGACTCCTTTTGTGGCTTCATGGTTCAGCTTTTACACAATTTGAACAGCTGATAGCCCCCAGAAGCTTTTGAAGGTAACTAAGAATCCAGTATCAGATCATTTCCCAGCTGCCTGTATGAAAATTGGCACTTCTTTTTCCATCCCAGTCATCAGTGATGTCCAAGAGTTGGTGCCAGTAGTGACCCTGTTTTTGCTGTGGGAGCCTTTGCCCATGGCAGGTCAGGATGGAGTACGTAGAGAAGATGGTATCCATAAGTCGCTATCCACTCTTTGCTGCCCTCACCTGTGCTAGCCTTTGAAGAAGTGTCGGGGAAGAACCTCTGGTTCTGTTCAGAGGTCTGTTGACATCACTTCCCTTACTCCTTCTCTGAACTGATTGCTGGAAGATAACTTTTCTGTGCTGAGACTAGAAGTTCAGGAAGCCCATGCTGTACATTTTCTCTTCATTTGTCCTATAAATGCTGTTAGAAAGAAAGAGGGAGGGGGAGGAGGCGAAGGAGAGAGAAGATTTGGGAGGCCTCAAGTTCAAGCCCACCTGGGCAATTTAGCAACCCTGCCTCAATATAAAAGAAATAAAAAGGACCAGACCTTACCCCATTAATCACTAGGGATAATTATTAGGGATGTACTTGAATCCAAAGACCCTAGGTTCAATCTCCAGCACCACACCCCCCAAAAAAAACATAAAATGAAAGGTTAGTGACGAAGTTCTGCACAACTCCTTGGCACACTTTAATATTTAATATACTTTGTGTCTTTTTGGCGTTGGTGTACACATGGTGTTCAGCTGGTAGTCACAATGCATCTTTGACTCTTGTCTTTTTTTTTTTTAGGATACTGTCCATATATATGAAAGAGTGGTAAAGGACAACTAGCTCTTAAATCTTGGGATTTATAAATCTCATTAAGCCCTCTATGGAGTCTGCTTCAAAATAACACAGCATCATGAGAATTGCAGACCAGAAAACAAAGCTCCAAAGTTATAACTCAGCTGTGTCTGAGCTCTTGTTGTTATGGTGCTGTTATGGTTTAGAGCTAAAATGTCCCCCTAAGTCTCATATTCAGAGGTGGGGTTTTTGAAAGGTAATAGCTTGGGGGTGCTATGCTCATCAGTTTAATCCACTAATGACTACATGGCTAAATATGCTATTAGGATGTGGAGCTCCATTGGAGGTGGGCCCTTGGGAGCATGAGTTGGGAGAGTGTATTCTTGTCCCCAGCTCCTCCATTCCCTCTCTTCTTCCTTGCTACCGTGGGTTGAGCAACTTGCCTCTACCATGCCTTTCCACCGTGGACTAAGTCCTCTGAAAATTGAACCAAAATAAACCTTTGAGTTGTAAGTGTTAGGTATTTTGTCCCAGCAATTGCAAAGTGACTACTACAGGTTCCTTTCTTTGCTTTATAGCCATCAGCCAGAGTACTTTAGTGACATTTACATAGAGCTTGTGTAAGACAGCTGGTGGGGAAAGTGGTAGTGCAGATGAAGTCTAGGGTAAACTTTGTTTAGTAAAATGTTTGTTTGGCAGCCTTTTAGATAATGCTAGGTAGCTACAGCAGCCAAGAGTCCTGAGCATCTTCTCTAATGCAGTCATGAAAAGTCTTCCACTTAGATTTCAGTCTGGAGCAACCAGATCTTCATGTTGCATCAGAATGAGACCCTCCTGACATGAAAAGCTAAGTTTATTTTTTAAAAGGAAGTGTATTTGTGTTCGTGTATACCTAATGGGAGAGAGGAGAATGAGTGTGTGAGTTCTTTTTAATTTAGGTGTAGCCATCAGAAAACCTTAAAGAACAAAATCTTACTGTGGAGGGTCATGAAACTTGGAGTATAACAACATCTGACCACTGCTTGAGGAAATATTCCTTGCATTCATAAGCTAGCTCTCTGGAGTGAAATATGTCTGAATTTCCCTCACTAGGTAAACAGTCCCTGACATGTTGGCAGTTATGGACATTTTTGGGGGGGGGGGTTGAACCGGGTCTTACTGTATAGTTGAGGCTGAACTTGATCTCAGACTATGTAGCTCAGGCTGGCCTTAAACTCACAGCAGTCCTCCTGCCTCAGCCCCCAAGTACTGGGATTACAGGCATATGCTACCATGCCTGGCTTGGCAGTTGTGGACATTTAAAAGTATATTTTTCCTCTATCAATTTATAATTTTCCTCATGGGCCAGGGATGTAGCTCAGCAGCACAGTGCCTGCCTGGAAGGCATGAGGCCCTGAGTTTGATTCCTGGTAACCCCTCCCCTCCCCCAAATCTTATAATTTTTCTTAGGTAAGAGTCCAAGTAGAAATAGGAAAAATAATACGAACAAATGTATTCTTCACAAAACCCCCACAGTATCCATGGTTTCTCCTTTGCTGTGTCCTTGTGGCTTAGCTAATGTATGCTTGTGTGCTATCAAGTCACAGGACTGGTGAGGAATTTGGTTTTGGTTATTTTTCTTTTTTCTTTTTTGTACTGGGGATCGAACTCGGGACCTTGTGTTAGCGAGGCAGGTGGCAAAACCACTGAGCTAAATCCCTGGCCCTTGGTTATTTTTCTTGACCTTGTATCTTCCATATAGCTTATAGGAGTTCATAATTTTGAAGCCCAAGCCTTCAAGAAGAAATTCTGACTTTGCATTAAGCCCTTCTGATGGGAAAGAAAAAAAATACTTACTAAAAAGAAAGTTTAATCCCTCTAGAGAACTGGAGCTCAGTTACTCCCTCATATATTACTAAGATTACTTTAAAAGCTAGAGTTATAGAATGAAAACTTTTTGAGTAATTTTTAATACATAGAAATACTTGATACCCCATGTTTTGAATATTAGTTGCTTCACAACTTTGCATATTATAGAATGTCTTAGTTACTTTCTTGTTGCTGGGACAAAATACCCAACACCCACAAGTTAAAGGAGGAAAGGTTTATTTTAGCTTTTAGTTTATAAAGATTTCAGTCCATAGTCAGCTGGCTCCAAAGCATGCCAGAGGGGTATGGCAGAGGAAACCTGCTCATGGCATGGCAGTGGGAAGCAGCAAGCCATCAAGGCAGGAGAGATATACAGTATATACATCTCCAAGCCACAAACCATGCCCACAGTGTGACCCACCTCTTTCCACCAGGCTTCACCTCAGTCACACCCACTATAAACCCATCAGTGGACTAATCCAGTATCACCTGTGATCCAGTCACTTCCCAAAAGATGGGCGCATGAGGCTTTAGGGGAACATTACATATAAGCCATAATAACATAGGATAAAAGAAATAAGGATTCAGTGCAAAAAAATGT